TCCCTGACCACGCCCCCGCTGGTGCTTGGCCCTGGCCCACCGCCTCCAGCCTGGGCTCCTCCCGAGTTGGGTCCCTGCCCGGCCCCCGCTGGGCTGCCACCTCCTACCTGGGTCTTGCGGATGCGCAGGTCCGCGGAGGAACGGTTGAGCCCCTCCTCCTGTTCAATGCTTTGCTCGATCGCTGCGGGAGAGAGGGCGCAGTGAAGGGCGGGAGACCCGGGGCACATGGGGCGGGGGTCCGGGGAGTACGAAGGGTCAACACCCCGCGGCAGAGCCAGACCCGGGGAGAAAGGTTATTCCCAGGGCGAGTGGGAGCAGCGGTGCCCCAGGGTAGGATTAGGAGCCAGCAGATAAACAGACGAACAGAACAGACGTTTGAGGGGGTTCCGAAGGCCGGCAGGAAGGGATACTGAGGGTCAGAGGGTCACCAGACAGAAGGGAGCTATTTGTTCTAGTGGCAGAACTGGCTCTTGGAAAGTCCCATCAGTGGTAACTCCTGTCCAATCCCATGAGGGGGTGCCGGCCCACCCCGCGGGAAGGGGCCTTGTAGGTGGGGTGCTCCCTACTTCCTACAGCCCCTGAACAGGGGGCAAGAACGCAGCCCGCGTTTTTTCTGGTGGAAGGCAGTCACCTCCAGGTGGGTCAGGTTCTAGTGGCCCCTCTTTCCCTGGGGAATTCAAGGGCAAACACATGGATATTCCAAGGGAGAAAGCAGCCCCCTCTCTGCCCTGCAAGGTGATCCCCGATCTGGGAATTCCCACTTCTGAAGGATGTTCTGGAAAAGTGCACAGATTAACTGAGATTCCTGCTTCTGGATCACGCACTCCTGACACTATCATTCCGATTTTCTAAAAAAAAGATTGTGGTAAAACCTACCTCGGTGAAATCAGAAAATGCAGCAGGGATGAATCACCAGCCCTCTCAGACCTCACCGGCCTCCAGGCCATTCCTAAGAGCCTCACTCTTCCATTCTGCTGGCAGTGGGGAAGGTACCCGCAGATGGCACCCCAAGGCTCCCCCGATTGAGTGACAGCTCTGGCCCAGCAACACACGGCCCAGGGATATTGGAATCGGGTGGCCTAGATTGGGGCCCTATTGTCAGCCTTGGGGCTGGAGCCAAGTCCAGAGAGAGGGGTCTCTTGCAGGATCTCACTGACTTTTTACAACATTCCTGGAATTTCAGTGATACCAGTTCATGTTTTAGACTAGAAACTCAGGTTCCAATAGGCGAAACCACTCACTCAAGGTCACACCCAAAGCATGAACTCATGCCACCAGCTGGAAGAGGACGAAGAGAATCCTGTCTTCTTTCCTGGAGGTCTGAAAGGTCAACTTCTCTAAACCACGGTCACTTTTCCAGCTTCTTTCTCAGGGCATTCCTGAACCCCTCACCCACAGAGCCCTCCCCAGGGTCTTACAGAGAGTGTTCAAGGTCAAGGCTTGATGGAAACCATTGAGCCCAGCAGATTTTTTTTTTTTTTTTTTT